AAAGTGCAGTGAAATCATGAAGTAATATAAATTAGTAATATATTAACTACATTACAGTATTCTCACTGTTGCCTCTTGATATCATAGCCTGGAATACATTAACACACTGATAATATCCTAAGAGTACATTAAAAATTATTTCTGAGCAAAAGCAGTACTAGTCTCTATATTATCTCCCAAAATAACATTCTGACAGTGTGGAAGAAGTTATCAGGAGATTCTAACCCTTCCGCATGTTGTAGATTCCACAGTCTTTCTAAAAGACAGCCAATTTCCCCTTAGGACACACTTATAATCAAGTTTTGTGAGAACATATTACAGATTTTTCCAGATATTTTATCCAACATGCTGAATGATATATGAAAAATATCTCTATATGGAGTCAGGGGAAGATAACTTAATCATATATAATATTGGAATACTCACATATGTTATTGTATTTTAATTTGTACAATAATTTGTAAGTTAAATAGTTTAAAATTTTACCACTTCTGTAGTTTATGGCACTATTGCTGATGTATAAAATATTCTATGTGGATGATAAAAAATGTATATTTAAAATGTATACAGAGTACTAACTAATGAGCCAAACAGATGGGAGTTGTGTTTTAACTTCACTGGAAAGTACTGAAATAAAGTACTGAAATAAAGTAACTAACAGCATTTGTGTAAATGAAAATAAATCTCATGAAAATCTGAATGGATTTTCCTTTGTTAGACAGAAGTTTGTGCTTGCCTTATAGCTATATATTATAGCCAGTGGCTGTATTTTGCTGACATGGCCTGTCAATAGCTATGTCTCAGCTGTTAAAAAACAGTAAGTTAAATGTATAAACTCAACACTGTGCAGGGGGTTCTGCATAGATTCCAATTTACAGAAGTGAAAAAAGAAAAAAAAATTCATGAATCTCAGTAGTCCAAGAAATACACTTTCCCCAAAAGTATTTCTATCAAAAAACCCTAAACAAATTAAAGTGGAACTTAATCACAGTACTGATCCCTCACATAAGCCCAGCAACCTGACAGAAGCAGATACCCATGTCTGCTTACATCCATGGAGCTTTTGTGGGACCACATTTGTCTTTAAACACTCAGTTATGCAGATCAGACTGCAAGCTGAAGGCTTGAATCTATTTCATCATTTGAAAGGCAGCTATCATTAGAATGCCAGGCAGAGGCACACAAAGCACTTATTTTAAACAAAACCTATCTATTTCTCTGTTAGATTCATTTAAGAGTCTTCAAAGCAAAAAATATTTCCATTGGTGTTTACTTTTCTCAGTCCTCGTCCCATTCACTTAATATACAAGACACTGTTAAGGTTGGACAAGAAAGCTGGATGCTTCAGTTTCATGTTTAGGGTAACAGCAGTATCTTTATTTATCACAGACATTATCGCAATGTTACTATTTCTTATTTAACTTCAGTTACTTCACACAGAAAAATGTATTTTATATTAGAGCCAAAATTAAATCAAACTTAATCCCAAATTATGCTAAACCACTTAAAGTGGTTTTGATAGATTAAGGCCCACTCCATCAAGCTGCTCTGTACAGACAGGTCTCCATTTGTAAGAGCCCACACAGTCTTCCTCAGCAGAGGAAGACTCTACAAATATCCCAGGCACAAAAAAAAAAAAAAATCACAAATCTCCAGCAGCAGATACAAAAAACAAACCCACCCTGCTTTTCCCCAAAATACCAGAATACAACAAATGCTTCTTCCCCAATGGTACATTTTAAAATGTTTAACCTAAACCCCTACACTAACAACTGACACCCTGAACTCCACTATTTGCAAATTTACATTACTGAACCTGTGGTGCAAAGAACTTACCTAGCAGTGAGCTAAACTCTTTAAGATGTACCATCACCATAATAGAGTAATATATTCTTAGCATTCTCATAGTTCAATTCTAACACTACCAGTACACAGAAATTCTCAGCTGGAAGTAAGAACTTCCAACCTCGATGGTTTTACACCACCAGCTGTCTCCAGAACACACACATGCTCCACAGCACTTTAAATCCTCATATAAATAAACTTGTACACACGAACTGAGAGGGAAAACTGTATTTTGAGAAGCTACATAGTAATATTCCCCAAGCATGTGTTCCTTCAGGTGCACCATTTAGCCTGAAATATAACTTTTCACATTCTGAGTAATTTTTCTTCCATTTTTTTAAATCATTGTGGTTCTTCAAATAGCTACTTACTTACTTAATAGTTTGATTTCATAATCCATTATATTAGGGATCTTCCATAAACAGAATATGTTTGCAACAGAGTAGACATGAAACACATATGGACAAGAAGGACAATAACAAAAGCACAGATTACATACACATCTGTTCTCTCAGGTCTCAGCCTCAGGAGCAAAGACAGAAGAAGTACACGTGCACACAACAGTCTAAATGCAAGAGGTCACTCTCATCTCTTTTAGTTTTATTCAGTTATGTGAGCTCACTAACTACATGTATATTTGGGGAAGAGCTGCATGCAGACATCCAGAAACAACTACAAAGCAAACGCTTTTGGAAACTGAACACACACACACATTCAGCTGCATATTCACCACGAAAGACCATGACAACAGTTTTCAGGAAACTGCGCAATTGAAAACTTAATTTTGTTTTCCTAAACAACCTCAAGAAGAGCAGGGTTTGCTGGCCTCTCCTGTGAACGTGTGTGTACCCTGTACCAGGAGCCTGCAGATCCCACAGGATCCACAGGAAAACTGAGGCCTCATGAGCTCTGGAGCTTCCGGCGCAGCCAACACTCCTGCAGATGACAGCTGTCACTGGACACAGGCACGGATCCCAGACACTGGAAGTGGGACACTGTAAAACTAACATTGCCCAAAGGTATGCAAACTTCTTAAGTCTAGATCGGACCACTGGTTTATCTAGACTGCTTCTGAGCAAACCATAAGAACACTTGCCAGAATTGATACAGGGTAGCACTAGTTTTCTACCTCCTCCCTTCACCAGGCATATTCACCAAACACATGGAGAATGGCTACAAATTTCTACCACTTGCAACAACGAAATCTGACATGGGCACTCCAAAATGTTGAAGCATGACAGGCCCAGGCATATATTCCCAGCAAGCCTGTAAAAGTACTACTGAAATTTGTGAGCAAGTGCAGCAAATAAACAAAACAACTGAGATCCTATTCAAAAGAAAAACCACAGTCCTCTGTCATTCATCCTGTACCAACAGCAAAGATGCTGTTCATCAGGAGTAGGACATCTCTCCCATCTAACACTTCTTGGACCAGAACATCACGTGTATGCAGACAGAGAGGGAGGTCATGCTCCAAGTAGACCTTTAAAGCAAGACTAAAGTTGTGATTACTGGATTCCACATATCTGCCTTTTTTTTTTTAATCATTGTGCAAAATCCCTCACAGCTGCTGCTCTGAACAGTTCACAAAAACAAAGTGATCAGAGAGATGAGTTATGCTGGCAACATAAATGTCTTTCCTTTTCATGAACCAGCTTAATGCAGATGTTGCTGCAACTCACCCCAGCTGAGGTTTGGCAGGAATTGGGGAAGGAAAGACCATGAAGAGTGAAAGTGTTTGAAGCCCAACTAATTTCTCCTTAACTCCTACTGGTCCCCCTTCCTCTGCCAAGCCACTTCCAGAATGGCACTTGTTAGCAGCTCCCGACGCTGGGGAGAAGAGGGTGCCTTGCAAAAGCTTCCTCCGAGCAGCCGAGAGGAGACTCTGAGAAGGTTATTCAAAAATAAAATCGAACGGAGTGACTGCTCGCAGGTCGGCACGCTTCAGCTATCTTACACCGGGAACAATGGGGAGGCGGGCAGCCGGAGGATACGGCCCGGGAGCACGGGGCCGGGGTGGACGCGCTGCCAGCCCGTCCGTCCGTCGGCTCTTTGTCCGTCCGTCCGTCCGTCTGTCAGGCGGCCCCGCCGGCCCCATCCCCGCCGCCCCGGCGCGGCCTGCGCGGCCCCGCGGCTCCGGCCGGGAGAGCGGGCGGAGCGGGAGCGGCAGGAGCAGCGGGAGCGGCGGGAGCGGCGGGAGCAGCGGGTGGAGGGCGCCCGCCGCCTCCTCATCCCCCGCTCCGCGCCGGCCTCCCCGCGCCGGGGCCAAGCGCGGCCCATGCGGGACGCGCCGCGCCGCGGCCCCCCCTTCCTTCCTTTCCCGTTCCTCTCCTCCTCCTCCCTCCCTCCCTCCGCGCACCGAACGGCCCCGAACGGCCCCGGCTCGCCCCCGCCGGCACTTACCGGCCGCAGAGCTGCGAGGAGAAGGCGGCCGGGCCGGGCCGGGCCGGGGCGCGGCGGCGGCGGCGGCGGCTCAGAGCGGCCGTGCCGCGGCCCCGGGCATGGCGGGGTTGGCGGGGCGCGGGCGAGGGGGGCCGGCGGGGCGGCGGCGGCGGGGTGAGCCTGGGGGAAGCGGCGGCGGCGGCGGCTCCTTCTTCTTCTTCTTCTTCTTCTTCTTCTTCCTGCTGCTCCGCGGAGCGTCCGCGGGCGGTGACAGCGACACCCGGCCAGAGCGCCGCGCGCGCGCTGCACCACGGGAAACGCGCCCGGAGGACCGGCGGGACGGCAGCAGGAGGAGGAGGATGGGGAGGATGGGGAGCGAGGGAGCGAGGACGGGAGCGGGATCCCCGCCGGGGCTGCGGCCGCTGGCTGGGCGGGCGGTGCCGGGTTACGCGCGGGTCAGGAGGCCGGCGCGGGCAGCGCTCCCACGGCCGCGCCGGCCCCGGGCGGAGGCGGGGCGGGAGAGCCCCTTCGGCCTCGGGCCGGGGCTGCCCCCCGCTCCCTCCGGGGTCGTTCCAGCGCCCTCACTCCCAGCCGGGGCTCCCGGGGGAGAGGGGGCCGGAGCGGCCGCGGTCGGTGCCAGGGAGGAGGCTGAAGTGCCACAGGGTTGGAAGGGACCTCTGGAGATCATCCAGTCCAACCCCCCCGCCAAGGCAGGGTTACCTGGAGCAGGTGACACAGGAACGCCTCCAGGTGAGTTTGGAATGTCTCCAGAGGGGGAGACTCCAGGCCCTCTCTGGGCAGCCTGTTCAGGGCTCTGCCACCCTCAACGTAAAGAAGTACAGCCCGATCCAGTTCCCCACTGCCGGCACATCCTACATCCCTCCCGCTGGAGGAGGCCCCAGACCACCGGTGCCCTTATGGAGGTTCATGGGGGTCCCAGAGCCTCCAAGTCCATCAGAAAGCCCCGAGATGAGTTTTCTGCACTGCAATCTCCTTGATCGTGATATCCTCCATGACCCCACACCATAAACTTTCTGGAGAATTGCTAGAAGCCAAATCTTCCTAAAGACCCTGCGTTCCTTGGAGCACCTCTCCACCCAAACCGGCTGCACATCTGCAGCCTGGGCTGTGCCGTGGTGTTGCTTGCACCTCTCAACTTCATTGCTTTTAGGGGTTACCAACTTTTCCACGTTTCTCTAAACAAAGCCTTTCGCCAGCCACGGACTTAAACACGTGCGTATCTCAATTGCTCCGTGTCACTTGCGTATAATTAAGCATGTGCTTAAGTGCTCTGCTGGATTGAAGCCAAAATCTGCATAAGCTCTGTTGGGTAAAATTTACCAGCTTCGCTGGGCTTAGCTCAATGAGTCATTCAATCAGCAGCAGCCCAAAGGTTTTTGCTAGAAGCTTAGTTATTCCCAGGTTGTCCTACAGGATCACCCTGTCCCCGTGACAAGGCTTCTGCCCTTCATTCAGGTCCTGTTAGAAGTGAGACGCATCTGCCCGGTGACTCAGCTTTGCCAAGGGTTTCAAGTTCCTTCAGCAAGAGGCATTAATAAGGTTCTGCATCCTCACACAGGTCAGAGGTTGTGCCATCCACTTACAGTGTAATAAATTGCATTGAGAAGAGAGTATTAATGACACCAGGACCTAGTGTGAAGGTCTGCTCTGACTTTATGCAATATGTTTATTTCAAAATAATTGCATCAAGAGGAAGGAGTTAATAAAATGTGTCTACATTTCATGCAGCCCTCTACAGATTCACACAAAGACAAGAAGTGTCATTAACCTGCTTTTTGAATAAAATGGGGAACCTTTTTATTTCCAAAACCTGAGTTTTAGAAACCGAGGGAAGATGTACACTTATGCAGCTTTGATTTTTTTTTTCCTTCAAAGACAATTAATTGGGTGACTCTACTCATTTTTACCTGTCAAAAAAATCTTTTGAATTGCATTAAGTCTGAGTTGGGAAGCTCAGCACTAAATCCTTATATTAAAATACACTGAGGAATTAAAGCTTTCTGCAGGGTGAGCACAAGTCTTTCTCCAAGGACACATCAATTGGAACCTGCTTTTCAAAAAAATTTGTTTAGCAATTAACAGCATAATATGAAGAAGAAAGACTGTCTTGTATTTAATGCTAAAAAGCAAGACTCAGCATATTCGAGTGCTGTTCTTTACTCTCTTACCATTCTTCTATGTCCTTAATCAAGACATGCTCCAATTTTCAAACGTCGGATTGGGTTATGGTGCGGTTTTTTTGTGGTGTTTTAAGAGGAACTGAGCACCTATAAGTTATCAAGTTCAGTGAGAATCTTACAGTGCTTTGTTCATCTGGAAGTCCCCACCACCAAGGTAGAGTTGGTGAAGGGACACATCAGACCTTGGATCTTTGCCTCATGTATTTCCTAATTATGGTACTTTCTCACCAAGTCACACAGGTGTGACACTGATGTCCATATTAGTTTTGACAGTCATTTAATACTGTGGTATTTATTTATTAATATTGGTGCTCTGACGTAATGAAATAGAAAAGAAATACATAAACTCAGTAGCTTGAGAAGCTTAAAGGAGCACTTGCATTTTGACCTACATTTTTTTCTGTACACTGCTCTGTAAATAGCAGACAAACTGCTTTTCCCTAGTTAAAATATTAATAGTCTTTAATATAGTCTTCCTTCTCCCTTCTGAATTTCAAAAGTTGCCCACCTGCGAGAAACCCTCTAAAAGGCAATGTGTGTGCAGCATGGAGCACGGTACATTTCAGTCTCCTTTTCTTAAGAGGGCTTAAATAATGGAAATTAAAAGGCATTTCCCCCCTCCTTCTTTTTCTTTTTCTTCTCTTTTCTGTATAAATCTAGAAAAAAGAAAATGTGTGGCTATGTATTAAAAAGAGTGGCTTTGGGGAATCACTGGGCAATATGTGTGTGTTTTAAAAGGTCTTCAACAGGAAGTGGCTTCAGAAGTAACTGTACAGATCAAGCAGAACCATCACGTTTGACCTCCTGCATGACAAACTGAAGGATTTAATTCAGAAATTTATGCTTCAAGACAGTAACTTCTGTTGAAGCGGCAGCTGATCTGGAAAGATCTTGTTTGGGAATTTGAGAGAGAAGTCCACCAGTTAGATATGTTTTTTAGATGGCCTCTTAGCCTAACTCTCAAATTTATGCCTTTGTACTTGTCTGAATTCATTAAGCCTGAGCTTCTAATCATTAGTTTTAGCTATCAGATTTAACGACTGCATTTAAGGATTTTTAACTGTTTTCCAGGTCTTTCTTTATCCTTGCAACTCTTTATAAATCCCCTTCCAGTTTTTTAAAAACTATTTTTGTTTGTTTGAAAATACTGTTAGCCTGGGCCTACTGCTCAATCATTTAGCCCACAGACAGGTAAATTAACAAACATCAAGTGCAGCTTTTTTCACCACCCCCTCATATCCACCTAACCTTTTATCTGCACCTCTGGAGTGATGTACAAAGTCTAATGATGTGACCTGTCCTACTGACTCTGCCCAGGGTGATGTTTCCTGCTGCTTCTCTGTCCTTCCTCATGTAAAACAAGGATACGGCATGTCTGTCTTCTCCCCTTCCCCATGTGGATGTCACAACTCACAGTTAATAGTCTCATTCCTTCCAACACATACAATTGGCTTTCTTGACTTTAAAAAAAAAAATAAATCTGTTGGACTATTTGTGTCTGTCTGTGGTTACATGATCAGGCCAAAGGAAATGTGAAAAACAATCTGCACTTCAACAATCAATATTTTTACTGAGTATTTTATAACCAAGCTAAGTCTTGAAAAAACAGATGATGTGTGAACAGTTCATGTCAGTAGTTTATATATGGAGAACACTGCTTTATGTTTTAAAAAAAGGGTATTTGCAAACAGAATGTTCAAAGCCATGGTAAATTCAAGAGGAAGCATGAAGTGTTAGGGTGTGGAAAGACACAGTTCATTTTCCCAGACAATGCTAAACCTGACTTTTCTGTAGTTGTGGAATCATCAAATACTTTGATTAAAACTTTGGTGGAGGATGAGAATAACTTGACTTTCAGAGATTGCAGATGTGTTCTCCCCACCACACTTGCATTATTCTTTTAATGCAAAAGTTAGTTTTAGATTTAGTGTCTGTGTGTCTTACCACTCTCTGCGTGCTGGGCATGACCTGCAATTTTGCCTGGAAACCCTTTGACAAAAAATGAGTATCAAATCATAACTGCATAAAGGAACAGTAATCATCATTAGGACTAAACCCTGGATGGAGTGCAAGAAGTAAATATAAACCAGTTTATTGTAAATATAAACCAGTTTACTGACACAGAAGTGGAGATAAACACTGCCTAGTCCTCATCACAGATTTATGTCTCGTTCCCTGCTCTGCAGCAGAGCCAAGCACATGTCTAACTTCAAAAATGCAAATATCCCATTGAATTTGTGGAACTATCAGATACTGAATCAGAAAGAAAATTAAATGCTTTCTTCGATTTCTCTCTTTCTCTCCCTTCCTTTCTTGAATGACTAAGGTCACTGTAGCCCTGGTTACTACTAGTATGTGCCAGTGATCCAATGCATGATGCTTCAGAAATGCCTAGATGAATGCCTGACATTTCAACAGTGGATCCAATCAGGGAAAAATTGCTAGTAGAAGCTAGAAAATCAACTTCCATCCATTTTCTCAATTGGAATATTTCACCAGGGCTTTAACTAACACAAATATTCAGTGCAGAAATTTAATGAGTCCATTGTCTGAGCATTCACTCACACTGTCTGTAAATTGCTTCTCTTCATTTCAGTATCCCTGATGGAATTTGTGTTTTAATTATTTATTTATTTATTTTATAGCAGGCTTTCAATTCAAGATCCCGCATAAGCCTGACTCAGTAGAACCTGCCTTGCCCTATATTGCTGGCAGGTCAGGAGTCTGTCATAATGCTGCCAGAGCAGTACCATGTGCTCCTCCTCACATTACTAATGCAGGGAAATGTGGTGGTATGCAATGTCTCAAAATACCTGTGCAGCTGACACTAATAAACGAAATCATTAATTAGGGGCAATAATGGTCAAAAGAAGAGGGTGTTTGCAAGTCAACCAGCTCTCTTCCTTATTCCCAGAACCTTTTCTGTTCCCAAAATGGTTTAGAGGAGAACACTGTTCCACTTCCACCTGAGCCCTGAAGAAGTTCTTCATATCATATTAGTTTCTAATGCCACAAACATGCCTGACCTGACTCATTCATTTATTTTACAATAATACAGCAGCCTGAAGTGCTATAAAACTTGACCTGAAGACAGCACAAAAATCCTGGAGCAAATGAAAAGTTTGATGGGAGATATACCTGTCTGAAAGAAAGATATCAAGTCAGCGTCAGTCAAGGTGGTTTTGTGTAGACACAAGACATTCAGATACCTGTGATACGTCTGACTTGGTCCCCCATGGCATTCCTATAAAATTAGCATTATAAATCTCTTTAAAGAAAAAAGAAGAGAGGATGTTTAATGTCCCATGCTGAAATGTCTAATAGACAGAAAAAGCCACAAAAATGATGATAATGTAATACTTGCCTAACATAAATTGTCAAATGACACAAAGAGGCAGAACTTAAAGAACCAATTTCTCTGCCTTAAAACACAAGTTATAAGAAGAGCAGAAAACCATCTACTCTTAACTTAGATTGGCAGTCTACCTAAGACATTTAAGTTGAATTAACTGCAAATGGGAAAGCAAGAGGGCCTTAAACCCCAGTGTGAACACTTTAGGATTAAGCCTTTCAGAAATAAATGTAAAGGAAGCAAGGGATATTTTGTCTGTAAAAGAGAGAACATCCACACAGGGATTTGGTGGGCTTTAAATATCACAATTTAATGTCACACCTTTACTTAATTCATCTTAATCTTTCCCATGTGCCTGTCCCACTGCAACTGAGTTCTTTAATTTGAATATTACGGTGGATCTAATTTGAAAAACAGCATTAGCTGAACCATTTAGCTGAAGACTTGTCCATTTGGGGAGGTTACTCAGTGCTGAGTGACCAGCTACCTCATACCTACTTACTGTCAATACTCTTGGTTTACATTATAGTGTTGTAGGATGTATCACACCACCTAACATGCACTGAGAATTTGTGCAAGGCAAGTACAATGTTTTAAATTCAGATTTACACCTCTTCACAAGTCTAACATTTACCTGATTAAAGAAGCAAGACTCAAGATTTGCAGAGCAGGTAGGATACCAAGCTGTGATCCAGTGGTAATGTAAGATTGATACTTATCAACAAAAGTTCAACGCTAAAACAGGAAAACTTACATATTTAAGCTAATATATATATATATATGTATATATATATATGCTTATAATATCTCTTGTATATTATAAAATATATATTAATATATATATGGTGCGTATAAATAATATATTATTATAATATATATTGGCAGGGGGCTTGGAACTGGGTGGTCTTTAAGGTCCCTTCCAACTCAAAGCATTCTCGGATTCTGTGATTCTATGTTTAAGCCCAAGAGGTTGTACATGCCCAGGGTTGCAAGGATCAAGCCATTATGTCAAGTGGGATGTTTCCATACATTATTTGAGCAACTTGGAAAGCCTACAGAGTATAGAAATCTCAATCTGTGAAAGCCAGTAAAAGGAAAATCTCTAATTTCAGTTGGCAGTGAAGGAAGGGAAAATGAGAAGGACACAAATGGACCTTGAAGACCAAACAGGGAGAGATTCTTGAAATAAGGAAGTAAAAAAAAGAAAACCCTTAAAAGGCTGGAATTGGAACTCTGTAAGTCAATTGCTTAACACAAAAAAAAAGGAAGGGTTTTGCATAAAAACATAATAAAAACCATGATAGTGTTGCCCTCCCATTACTGGTGTCCTCTGGTAATACTCTCAAAAATTGCATGAGAATAATAAGGAAATGTTAGAACAAAACAGGCTATTAAACCTTCTCCAAATTACACAGAGCACATCCATGACTGTCAGAAGCTGAACTGACTGGGCTGCCAGCAATACTGTGCAGCCACACATCTTTACCTGCAAAATCACCAGAATGGTCTTTCAAACCATTTGAAAGATCATAGTATGGCAAGTAAATGAAAATCAGATCTCACTCATCTCTTAGAATTATTGATTGTATCAGTAAGCTAAGTAATAAGAAAAAGCATGTGTTTACTTTGTCTTCCAAAATATATTTGACAATTTACAGTGCCAGAATTTGTCCAGAAGACGGAAAGAAGACAGGAGAGTATAGGTGGTCACTTTTCATCGGGGTATCAGGTTAACAGCAAAGGCCTCAGCCTTCCATCCTGAATCTGTTTCATGTTGGTTGTTACACTAGATTGGGAAAGGATGAACGGGATAAACTGGGATATCACAGATATAAATAGAAAACATATTAAGTTAATCAGGCCCCAGAGAGGACTAAAAGAAACCTTAGAGGCCCTCAAAAAAGCCAGATATAATGGCCAAGGAAGTTCATTGTATCTGCATGAAGTTCTGAATTTAGGAGAAAAGGTAAACTGCTAAGATACATTACAAATGAAAAATGGCTAAGGTATAGCTTCGGGGGGGGGTAAAGGTAAAGCTATTGATAAGTTATTTTCTCATGTGTCTTTCACATAAAATGAGAAGTGAACTGGGTGACATTTCTCTAAGGCCAAAGGAAGTGAGTTAAATGCTTCTTGAAAGTAGTTATAACTGATTTTTATTTCAAAATACATGGATGCATTGAGTGGAATTGATCAGGACTTGCACCAGACTATTCAACCAGAGGACAAGGACAGTTAAATATTTAGATTGCAGCAAGCAGGAGATGGCTGCAAGAATGTCTGGGGTCCAGGTCCAGGTCCAGGTTCAGCCTCCTCTAGGAGTAAGCTGAAGACAGTGGAGCACAGCTCAGTAAGGATGAAGAAAAGTCCTCGTACTATGGCTAAACTACAGGACAGCAACATTTCAGAGGATGGTTTAGTAGGGCAGTACAGTTGTTCACAAGCTGGACATCAGCTGATGTGCACATCATGCTGTTAGGTATGAACTGGCTTAAATGTTGTAAGACACAAAGGAATCACTTCAATTCAGTCTACACAGCATTGCTGAGAGTTCAGCTGAATGTATTGTGTCTGGTTTGGGGCAGGAAAGAGATGGCTCAGTTGGAAAGGTCAATAAGAATGACAAGAGATCTAGAAAACATGACCAAAAAATGCCCAAGTGAACTGCACTTGTTCCCAAGGAGAATGCTAAAGGGGAAACATGATGAGAGTCTTCAAACATGTAAGAGGCCATTGCACAGACAAGTGGAAAAAGCTGGTTTTCCTGCCCTTGGGAGGTATATAAGATGTGCATTGCAGCAAGAAAGCTTTAGGTTAGGTATTTTTCTGTCTTTCTAATAGCAAAGGTCACAAACACTGGGAATAGCCTACAGGGCTGTGGAGTCAATAGAGGTCTTTAGAAACAGTTTGGTCAAATATACTAGGAATGCTTTAGGAAGTAACCTAGATCATGGCCTTTCCCCCCAGGTGCCACCCAGGTCTGTTTTCTGTGTGCAGATAAAATAAGCAAGCAGATAAAATAGGCTGAAAAACAATAAAAAGATAGAATATCTTGACATAGATCTGTAGTACAACCTCAGGCAGACTGCTGTGGTCCAGCCATCTCCAGCCATCTCAGAGACTGGGAACTTCAGAGGAT